CAACCAAAATGGTGAAGGGTCTGGAGGTATGTTTAGCCTGGAGAAGGTTAAGAGGGGATATGATAGCCCTGTTTGAATATTGGAAGGAGTGTCCTACTGAAGATGGAGCAAGCTTGTTTTCTACTGCTCCAGAGAATAGGACACAGAACAATGGATGCAAGCCACAGGAAAAGGGATTCCACCTAGACATTAGGAGGAACTTCCTGACAGTAAGAGCTATTAACAGTGGAAGATGCTCCCTCAAAGAGTGGTGGCATCTGCTTCTTTGGATGTCTTTAAACAGAGGCTGGATGGCCATCTGTAGAGGATGCTTTGATTGTGTTTTCCTGCATGGTAGGGGGTTGGACTGGATGGCCCTTGCTGTCTCTATGAAGTTTGTCAAGAATACTCTTGTCTGAATCATGCAGAAATAACAAGAAACAAGCTTAATAGATGCCGACATGTCTGTGTTATCACCACTATTATTTGTTATATCTAAACATCGCATCCAGTGAATTAAAGGCCATGTTCTTCATCCTCTTCCCTATAAGTATGTCATATAACTATATATAACATATAAATATGTAGTAAATATAAATATACTACAGTCCTTCCTCCATATTTGCTGGGGATAGGGGTGAAGGACCCTTGTGAATGTGGAAAAACCACAAATTAAAAAACAAACAAACCACTATTCTTTTTACCACTCTAGAAATCTCCAGTGTAATTCTTATGGTCAACATCTTTCAGAAGAATCATGCTGGAGGACCTACAAATGCCTAGAAAAGCATTTTCTCTAGGAACTTCTAGGTTCTCCAGCACAACTCTATAGTCAACTTCCAGCAGAATTGCCTGGAGGACTTAAGAGATTCCTAGAGAGAACTTATTAATCAAATCCACAAAAGTCAAAGCCACAAATGTGAAGGGCCAACTGTGTAACATTTCTGCTGGCTATAGCCCACTTCATCAGGCGCATTAACTGCAACCCAGAATTTCAACAATATATACAACACACAGAGCAGAGAGTAGGAGTGCAGAAGGAGATTGGAAACCACCTGCAGTGACAACTTTAACAAAGCTGGTCATTTACTGATGACTTTAACAGCCTGGAACACATTCCAGTTAAAAAACATAGCAGGAAATGAAAGAAAAATATTTGTCCTTGGGACTGAAATTTCCTGTTAACTTTACAATCTCTCTCTCTCTCTCTCTCTCTCTCTTATATCTCCCACTGCAGTATCTTTGCTCCACAACAGTTACTTTTATATTCAGAATACTGCCACGTTAAATTTCTGCACTAAATGCCCATGTGGCTTATGCAGAAGGGTACAGCTGACAGAAGACTTCTTATATCACACTGGAAGATGAACGAAGCAAACAAATGCCTGGGATGCCACAGATGATGTTATGAGGTTGTGCAGTGATGCTGCCAAGAGTAGACAGGACAGAGTTTGTGTCAGGGTTTATTTCAGTATCTGTGCTTTCTGCATTTCATTTCGTAGTCTTTTCAGATGCCATGTGGTTATTGGTTGGTTTTGCTGCGACAGACAACACCACTCCCACCCTCCCAAAATGCTTACATAAGACCCAGGCAAATCAAAGAGCTCACGAAGATTCGAGACCAGACATTATTAGCAAGATGCATTGCTTCTCCTCTATCTATCTATGGATATAAATGGATATCGATCTATCTATATCTATATAAATCAGTAAGTCATGGTTCTGAAGGAATTATCTTCAGTAGTACGATACCCACAAAAATGGTTGAAACTGCACATAACATTACATCATTCAGATGTCTTTTTCCTGTGTATTTAGGTGCTTGCTTATTTATTTAAAGTACTCCTGTATTGCCTCCAAGCCCACAAGGTCTCCCTAGGTGATAAACACATAAAAACAATTAAAACAATGCAGAGGTAAAAAACATAAGAACACATTAAAACTATTAAAAACTCCTTAAAGCAATGTAGCATTTTCAAATATTAAATGTCATGTGGAACAGGACTGTTTTGACTGTCCGTTGGAAGGTTAAAGGGGATGGGGCCAGCTTAACCTCCTTGGGTAGGGACTTCCACAGCTGATATGGGAACTTCGCTGCTACAGAGCTTAAAGCCCTGTTACCTGTATGCACCAGCCTAACTTCACAAGGTGTTGAGGAACACAATAGGGTCTCCTCTAAAAATCCCAAATAAATTTTCTGGCATGCTTAGCATAATAAAGTAGACAGGCCATTATAAAAAGAGTGCTTATATGCAAAGAACTTGTGCAAGGCAGGATTTTCCCTGGTTCCCCAATTAAAAGCAGCTTCAAACCTCATGAAAAGTTCTACTTCAGAGCTGAGGCACCTTCCAGAACATATTTGGAAAAAGAGTGAGGGGAAATTTTTTCCGAGAATTCCTCCTAGCGACTCCCTTTAAAGTTCTCATAAGTGGCACAAGGTCGCTGTTTTCTGCCCCCTCTTCCTGTTATTAATATTGTTGCAGCTAACTTGCTGTATTTTATTCTACTGATTTTTAATTCTACTTGATTTAATATTTTTTATAGAGTTAGGGAGTGGGTTGGGATGGGATTGGGATGTAATGTATTTTTAACTTGTTAGCCGCCCCGATTGTTCTCAGAGGGGCGGGGTATAAATAAATTTTATTATTATTATTATTATTATTATTAAAGGGGCAGTGAAAATTGAGTGCTCAATCTCCCACTGAAGTCTAAATCCAAGTGTTTACTGTCCCCAGTGTTGTAACCCAACCTGATAATTTAATGTATCTTTTATGTAACCTTTCTATTTTATATGGTTTTAAGTTATAGCATGTCTCATCGGGTCTATTGACGGTAAATAAAGATTGAATTGTTAATAAAACACTTATATGGCAGGGGTAGGCAACCTTTCCCCTTTAAGGGCTGAGGGACGTCAGCTCCCAGAAGCCTCAGCCATGTTGGCCAATAGCTCCTGGGATTCTGGGAGCTGAAGTCCCTCGGCCCTTAAAGGGGAAAGGTTGCCCGCCCCTGCTTATATGGTTTTCATTAATTCAGTGAATCTACTCTGGTCGAATCTAACAATTGGATTTTGTCCTTAATTGTTGGTGCCATTTAAAGCTGCCTATTGATAAACCTTCTTGATGTAGCTTACAGTGCTTTGCAAATACAACAAAATAGACAAAGGTTTCTACAGACAAAGTAACATGTTCCTTCCAGCCTGTACGGCACTTTCTGGATTTCAAAAGGCAGAAGAAATGGCTGCTGCTTTCCTTAAGAACAAGTCAATTCCCTGGGTGTAACTAACTATACATAAAGAGTACACAAACAGCACTATAACTCAATGGGAGAACCTGAGCATCCATAATAAAACCTACGGCTCTTTATAACTTTTATATAATCCATAGGGAAACCTATGGCTCACAGAACACAGCCTCACAGCCTGAAAAAACCACAAAAACCTATGGATGCCAACCGTGAAAAGCCTTCAACTTCACATTGAACATATGGCTCTTCATAACTTTATTGTCGTGTGCCTTCAAGTTGTTTCTGACTTATGGTGACACTAAAGCAAACCTATCAGGGTTTCTTTAGCAAGTTTCTTCAGAGTGGGTTTGCCATGGTCATCCTCAGAGGCTGAGAGAGTGTGACTTCCAGTGGTTTCCATGGCCAAGTCAGGATTCGAACCCTGGTCTAGTCCAACACCCAAAACATTACGCCATGCTGGGCCTATATCTTATTAGACTCCAACGTCCATCCGTCCCATACAACCTGGCCAAGAGTGGTGTGCAGAGAAATTATAGTCCAGCACAGTCTGAAGAAAAATATGGTCACTACCTCTGCTTTATCCTGTCTGAATTAATTTTGGATTTCCTATATTTCCTGGCCCTCAAAAAGAGAGGTTTAAAATCACTAGTTGGTGTTTTATTTAAACCCTAAAATCGAGACTGTTGATAAAAACCACCCAGCTTTATAACCATCCTTTCATTGCACCAGCGATCAATAATGAAGCTAGACAGATCCTTAGGACCTTACAAACATAAACTGTGTAGCCAAAAAATACTACCTCCACATCTTATGTCAAAGATCGATCTCTATCATTTTGGATTAACTGTGAGAGACAAGAAGACCTGAAAGAAAGCATTCAGGGTGAGAGAATATAATTCCCAGAGAAAGAATTAAGAGACTGCTTTAACTGCCCTGGCTCAGTGCTAGGGAATCCTGGGAATTGTAGTTTATTGTGGCACCAGAGCTCTTTGACAGAGAAGGCTAAATGTCTCACAAACATTACAGTTCCCAGAATTCCCTAGCATTAAAGCAGTCTCAAACTGAATTATTTCTAGATAGTGTTTTTTTTTAATTGGTTATGAAAGACATGCTTTTATTTGTTCTCAGGTCTGAACCATAGATTTCCCAACTCATAATTCATGTTTAATGATGTGTTTGCATCAGAGCCATACAATAAACCTATCTGCATTGTGTTTTGGACCTAAGTGCCAGCATATCTGTGAAAGAATGAGCATTTATTTGGTTCCTTTCATCAGTACTCAAAGCACCAGTCTCTCTATGGACACAGATAGGGAACTGTTAAAAAACGATCATAATACGGGAGATATTTCCCCCCAAAACAGAATCAACTGCCCTGGCTCAATGCTAGCAAAAAAGAGAGAAATGGTTTTTTCCCCCAGAGGCTGGTCCAAACATTCTGACAGGAAGCTCCCTGCATCCAGACTGTAGAAATAACCCAGTTTGACACCACTTTAAGTGCCATGGCTCAGTACTATGGAATTCTGGGATTTGTAGTTTTGTGAGCTACTGAGCATAAATGTGTCTACATAAATCTATGAGAGAGCACTTTGTTGCTTGTTGGCGGTGTGTGCCTTCAAGTCGTTTCTTGCTTAGGTGACCCTCAGGTAAACCTGTCATGGAGCTTTCTTAGCAAGATTTGTTCAGAGGAGGTCTGCCCTTGTCATCCTTTAAGGCTGAGAGAGTGTGATTCGCCCAAGATCACCCAACGGGTTTCCATGGCCAAGCTGGGAATTGAACCCTATGTGGCGCAGTGGTTTGAACATCGGACTACAATTCTGAAGACCAGGGTTCGAATCCAAGCTTGGCCATGGGACCCCACTGGGTGCTCTTGGGGGAGTCACATTATCTTAGATTCAGGGGATGAAGGCTCAAAGAACTGAACTCTGACCTCCAGAGCCGTAGTCCAAGTCTCAAAGCGCTCTTGTCAGAGAGCATTGGATACTACGGTTCCCAGGATTCCAAAGCATTGGAAGTGCGGTTGCAGCCTGGATGACCTTGGGACAGTTTAACCAGGGCTAGGCAACCTTTCCCCTTTAAGGGCCGAGGGACTTCAGCTCCCAGAAGCCTCAGCCATGTTGGCCAATAGTCCCATGTTGGCCAATAGCTCCTGGGATTCTGGGAGCTGAAGTCCCTCGGCCCTTAAAGGGGAAAGGTTGCCCACCCCGGGTTTAAACCCTCTTCTCTCTCAGCCTAACCCAGCGAACCGTAACAGAGGGAAGAGCCATCTCCTTCCACGAAAAAGGAGAAAAAGGATGGGGGAGGGGAAGAGCACAAAAAAGAGAGACTGAGGGGGAAGAAAAAGGCAAACACAGGCGGTGTCCTGAGACAACTATATCCCATTCTCCACTGCCTGGCTTCCACCCGCGAGGCAACACTAGAGAAAACCGCACCTCTGAGCATACGCAGAGTTCAGCCTCCGCCCTTCCTCTCCGTTCCTTATGCTGCCACTCCTGCCGAGGTCCAGAGCAACCAAAGAGAGCCCTCAGGCAAGGGAAACAACAGTGCCTCTGAGCATTCGAAGAGCGCCTCTGCCACTGAGGTGAGGGCTCGCCCTTGCGCGACTTATCTCTTCTGTCCCTCGGCGCTCACCGTAGCCGCTCTTGCTAGGAAACGGAGGACTCCTCCCGACGTCGCGCATCGGCAACAACGGCTACATCGCAGTAGTTTTGGCCGCGCGCACCCACCGTACAACCGGCACCACGTGACCAACCACCAATCGCAGTGTCGGCCGAGCGCCACAAAGGTGTTTAAAGAGCGCATGCGCACTTCGCATCCTTGCCCTCAAATAGGTTCTGAGGGAGGACATTTAAAAAAGGAGTCCATTTGGAGGAAGGGATTATTTTTTTCCCCTCTTGGGAAGAATTCTATAATTCCGCCTAAAATTCAGCGGAGCTTGGCGGCGAAGAGCGCGCTACAATCGCCGGGGAAGACCGATGTGAGGAAAGCTTTTCTTTTCTACGCATGCGCCAAGAGAAGTGGGCGAGACCTACGCGGGGAAAGCAGTGATTCCCAAACTTTGATCTTCCAGATGTTTTGGACTTCAACTCCCAGAATTCCTGACTGCTGGCCAAGCTGGCTAGGGTTACTGGGAGATGAAGTCCAAAACACCTGGAAGACCCAAGTTTGGGACTCACTGCGCTAGAGGGACATTCTCATTGCGCATGCGCTTGGGAGGCAGGGGGCGTGGCCACATCGAGGAGGTTTAAACGCACGACAGTCGCTGGGGAAGGTCGATGTTAGAAAAGTTTCTTTTCTACGCATGCGCCGAGCGAAGTAGGCGAGACGAGGGAACGCAGGCGTGGCATTCTCACTGCGCATGCGCCTGGCTCAAACCGTCACTTTCGTGCGCGCATGTGCAGAGGGTTGCCGACCACAGTGGATGAAGTACCATAGAAAAGCCTTGGCTAGAAGGACGGGCGGTGGCGTGCATGCGCATTAGCGCCTGACCGTTTAATGGCGTCCTCTTCTCAGGGAGCTCTTTGAACGTGGTTGTTTTCCTTCGCGGTTCCTCGGTAGGTTCCGGGCGTGAAACGGAGGGCCAGAGCTTTTATTTTAATTCTTATTCGGCCTCTGCGCGTATTGACCGATACTGGTGATGTGGGGCTTGTATCATGAAGCGAACGCTGTGTATTGTATACTAAATATATATACTGTACTGAAATATACACAGTGTTAAGCCATGCTGCAAAGGGGCACTGGGTGTCGTCTTTTTTATTAGTAACTACGTTTAGAATGTGTTAACCGTGTCTAACTAAGGTGATTTAAAAAAAATATTACTGTGTGCCTTCAAGTTGTTTCCGACTTACGGCGACTCTTATCATAGGGTTTTAATGGCAAGGTTTGTTAGGGAGGAAGGTTGCCCTTGCCATTTTCTTTTTGTAGCCTGGAAAAGGGCAATAATTCATAGAATCATAGAGTTGGAAGAGACCACAAGGGCCATCCAGTCCAACCCCCCTGCCATGCAGGAACTCCCAATCAAAGCATCCCTGACAGATGGCCATCCAGCCTCTGCTTAAAGACCTCCAAGGAAGGAGACTCCACTACTCTCCGAGGGAGTGTGTTCCGCTGTCGAACAGCCCTTACTGTCAGACCAAAGTTTCCCTCTTGTCCAGTGAAATAACCAATGTCCAGACAAGAGTCGGGGAATTATAAGCAGGAACAGATTAATGGAAAGGCTGCATCCTTTCACCCTATCTGTTCAACTTGTATGTAGAACATATTATAAGGAAAGCAGACTTGGATACAGGAGGAGGAGAAGTGAAAATAGGAGGAAGGCATAGCAACATGCTAAGATATGCAGATGACACCATAATACTAGCAGAAAACCTCACAGACCTGGAATACCTACTAAGAAAGATCAAAAAAGAAAGTGCAAAGGCAGGCTTAATGTTGGACATAAAGAAAACAAAATTAATGACCACCGAGGACCTTCACAAATTCAACCGAGACAATTAGGAAATAGAAATAGTAAAATAATTCCCATACCTGGGATCAAACATTGATAGAAATGTTGGCGGCAGGGGAGGATGGCTATGAAAGAACTAGAAAAGACTCTAAAATGCAAAGATATACAACTCAGCTCAAAAGTTAGAATCATACAAGCCATTGTATTTCTTATTATCATGGATGGATGTGAGAGCTGGGCAGTTAAGAAACAGGATAGGAAGAAATTCAATGCCTTTAAGAGAATGTGGAGCTGGAGAAGAGTGCTGAGGATCCCATGGACAGCCAAAAGGACAAACAAATGGGTCCTAGAGCAGATCAAGCTGAAAATCTTCCTGGAAGCCAAAATGACCAAACTGAGGTGGTTGTACTTTGGACACATCATCAGAGGAGGGAACTCTTTGGAAAAGACAATACTGCTGGGAAGAGTGGAGGGAATTAGTAAGAGAGGAAGGCCACAGGCCAGATGGGTAGACTCTACTAAGGGGGTTACGGGTATTAAAGGGTTGCAGAAATTAAGCAGAGCAATGGAGGACAGGGGGTCTTGGAGATGTCTCATCCACAGGGTCACCATGGGTCGAGATCAACTCAAGGACAACAAAACTAAAACAAATGACAGTACTTGCCCATAAGGAAAACATGCTTGCCCATAGAGAATTATTGGAGAATACATGCCCATAGAGAATAATAAAATACTTGGCCATAGAGAATCATTGAAGAATACTTGCTCATAGAAAATAATAGGATACTTGCCCATAGAGAATAACAGGAGAATAATTGCCTGTAGAGAATAATAGAATAATTGCCCATAGAGCAGGCCTACACAACATATGGCCCAGGAGCTGCATATGGCCTGCCAAAGGATTTTTGGCCGTCCGCAAGGATGTGGAATGACTTCAGGAATGACTTCCTGAGGAAAAGGCCAAGTGGAGGAGGAGGAGGATGGGCAAATGCCTGCTGAGCAAGGCTCCTCAACCCCCCCCCCCCCGACTTTCTCCTGAGGAGGAGGATGGGCAGCTTTTTTTGTATTTGCTTGCCCTACACGATTCTTTCATTGTTTGGCTTTCTCCTGAGGAGAAGGCTGGGTGGAGGATGAAGATGAGTGCATACTCACAACACTCCTCCACTGCTTAGCTTTCTCCTGAAGAGAAGCCTGGGTGGTAGAAGAGAAGGAGGGCAGGCAAATGCTTGCCCCTCAGGGCTCCTCCACTGCCCAGCTTTCTCCTGAGGAGAAGGACAGCGGCAGCAGGGGAGGACGGACAAATGCTTACCTTGCAAGGCTCCTCTGCCATCCGTTTTTCTCCTGAGGCAAGGAAAAGACAGAGGAGGAAGAGGATGGAATTAATATTAATTATATTTAATATAAAATTTAATAATGTTTTCTGTGTTTCCCTATAAGCAAGTATTTTCCCACTGTATCCCTGTGGGCAGGTAATTCACAATATTTCTCTATGAGCAAGTATTCTGCAATGTATCCTTATGAGCAGCTATTCTGCAATGTTTTCCTATAGGCAAGTATTCTCCAGTGATTCTCTATGGCCAAATATTTTGCAATGTTTCCCTATGGGCAAGTATTCTCCAGTGTATCCCCTAGGGGGAAGTAATTCCCAATGTTTCCCTATAGGCAAGTATTCTCCAATGTTTCCTTATGGGCAAGTATGGTTTCTCTATGGGTAACTACTGTCATTTGTTTTAATATGTCTCCAGGTTAATTATTGGTTTACAAGCCAAGAAATGGCTAACACCAGAGTCTTGTAACTCAAATATGGTCTTAGCAAAGATATGATAGACTCCTTAATCCTTATATACCATAGGCAAAGCTGTAGTGCTCGTCACTACATTGAAATCCAAAAAGACAATGTCTACTTACATACATTCTATACGTCATCACTAAAGAATTTAGGGGAAAACATGATTCATGTCATGTCATCAATCATGTACACAACATCCCCACTACAAAAATCTAATCTAAACATTCCAAAATGATTCAACAGTGCACAGAGACATATATCCCAGTCAGCTAAATCTAGGAATCGCCTGTTTCTCATGAGAAACAGCATAATGGAATTAACTGGCCCCTTAACTGGGGCCTGTTTTCTTTTGGTTAGGCAAAGCAGGAAATTCTGTTCTAATAAGCTTTTTCTGCTAATCTGATGTCATCTGGGGAGAGACACCAGGCCCAGCACCATCGGGCCTAGAAGAAGAAGAGCCCTCCCTCCACTCCATCTGATGTCATCTGGGGGAGAGACACCAGGCCCAGCACCATTGGGCCTAGAAGAAGAAGAACCCTTACTTCTTAAAGGATGGGTGGGATTCGGGATTTTTATGTTTTATCTGTATGGAAATGTTGTAAGCCGCCTCGATT